ATGATGATGATGATGATGATGATGATGATGATGATGATGATGATGATACTGTAAGAATGATGATGATAAGAATGATAGTTGGACAGTTGAAGTTGGTAGCCGTTCTTCAAGGAGAACCCTTCGCAGGTGCTTTCGGGAACAAACGAAAACCGTGTTTTAAAAAAGGGAAGAGGAATTCAAAACAAACATGATGAAAAAGCGTTCAATCAAGAGTGTTTTAAAGGCACACTCAATTCAGAGGCGTTTTGCGGCCACAACCTGACCTTACTAAATGTAACGTAAACATTGTTCTCCCCTCCTGTGAACGCAAATTACATTTTCCGTTGGGGGGCCATTTCAAGAGCAGGTAGGGGGCAGGAATGTTAAATCTGGAAACTGTAGACTCCACGGACCAGTCTTGCAAAAAGAAGAAAACCTCATTTGTATCTTATCTATGAGTCGAATGAATGAACCAAATCAAAATGACTCGGAGTTCCCAGGCAACCAAGCAACAAATTGACCAGCTCTTCACCAGAGCGTGCGCCTAAGAACCGACAGGAAGCTTCCACGTTGAGCTCCTTGGCCCTGTGATCGCAATGCATCTTGTTGTCTCCATCACCGACAAAAACCACCTTCGCATCGGCATGGCATTGTAAGATATCTGGCACCGCTTCGATCAAAATGTCGCCGCCCTTCATTCCACCCACCATGCGCCCGACAAAAAGCACCACAGGGTCCAATGGACCAATGCCATAAGTTCCTTTCACAGAACCAGGATCTTCCAACATCCCGTCAAATCGTGCACACTGGATGCCATTGTGAACCACCCAGACCTTGGCCTCCCACGGTCCGTCAAATTCTGTGAACGGTTGGAGGATATCACGAATGTAGGAGCAAGAAGCTACGAACGGAGCAAAGGGCATCGCTACTAGGGGCTCCTGGCCGTGCTACTAGGAACAAGGTTGGCTACTAGGAGCTGACGGACAAACAAACAATGACAAACATGCTATTGTCGCTTCGGTGGCCACCGACGTGTCTTGTGTTCTCATGTTGAGCCATTCCATCGCCTTATGTGAGCCACCCCAACAAAAAAAAAATAAGAGGAGAAGGGAGCCATTCCAATGTGGCAGACCTAAATAGAGAGGAGAAAGGAGCCATTCCAACGTAGCATACCTTTTGTGACAAAAACAGCGCCGACTTGAGCCTGTGTTTCAAAAAAGTGCGGGCGCTATATGAATGAAGCGTGAGCTATCCGCTTTAGCTAAAAACCAGGAACTAGGACAGAGAAAGGAACTGCTCCCGCCTCAGGAAGCTGATAGGTGTCACAAAGCTCTTCCTTCAGCCGCTCGGAGACCGCAATGACACGATCTGCGACAAAGGCTGCTTCGCCTTCCATCGATGCCACGCGCTCGGAGCCACCTCCAGGGCCTGAAAGCACATTCAAAAATACCTAGCGATGGCCTCTCAACGGGAAAAGAATACAAAGGATTAGATTCAATATTCAAGCTAACAAGTAAGTAACTAAGTGGTAGCAAGGAAGCTGCTAGGACGCAGAGGGCTCAGACTTAATGATTTGGTTCCTAGATTGGAGAAACTGAACGAGCAAGAGGAGGGTAGGGACAGGTAGGAAGGTAAGAAGAATGAAAGGGAGAAAAGCATGTAGCTACTAGGCTAATGAAGCTACTGAATGGCGGCGAATCAGTTTGAACGATCGGGAAACGACGTAGGATGCCGTTGCATTCGCTGTTTCATTCCAAAGATGTTTCTGAAAGCGTTTCTGTTGCGTTCGGCACCGCTGGTGTCCCTTTGAACGTTTGGCAAAAGCGGTACTTCTTCCTAGTAGCGAACCTTGTTACTACTAGTAAGGCACTTGTTACTAGAAGCGATGCACTTGTTTCTAATAGCTTCTTGTTACTACTAGTAAGGCACCTGTTGCTACTAGCGTGGCACTTGTTCCTAGTAGCTTAATTCTGTAAAGCGTCCTGTTCTTCCTTTTTGCGTTCTGTACATGTGTCAAGACCACAATTCGCAGTGTGTTCGCTTGGTGTGTTGCTCTTTTTGCGGACAGTGTCGAAACCCAACATGTCTACACAGAAAACATAACTGCACCAGTGCCACACTGCACCCCACCTGCAACCCTATCTCCCCCCACAAACCCCATCTTTTGCGCTCATTGCGATCCATCGTAACTCGGAATGCTTACATCAAAACGTCCATAGAACAATCTGGACACATCCGTCATGGACACGAAAGCACTGAACTCTCGAAAAGACCATTTCTAACTTTACAAAGAGGAGCTCTGTATTGTTCCATAGTGTCTTTGCGCCTTCATTCTTCGTTTCATGTTTTTCGATATGTTTGTCATGCTTCGTTTCGTTCCGTTCAATGTGGGTCCCCATTTTTGTGTACCTACGAAAGGTCGTGTGCACAGCGTTGGAATCCACCTCATGAGGTTGGGAGTGACAGCAATGAGCAATCGCCTCCGCCTCCAACCTGCTCCTAGAAGGTCCACTTGCTCCTAGTAGTAACAGATGCATCGCTAGTAGTAACAAGAAGCTACTAATAGCACACACTCTTCCTAGTAAGGCCAGGAGCCCCGTTTGTAGCGTCTGATCGCTCCGTTCATAGCGATGGCCTCGGCCTCCAACCCAAAAAGAGTCGATCGACTGTTCCGATCCGCTTGACCCTGCTCGACCCTGCTCGACCCTGTTCCTAGCGAGGCCTCCGCTTCGACCCTGCTCTGTGCTGTGGAAAGTGAAGATGCAGCGAAGACCATGAGAATTTTTGCATTGCACCATTGCCTCAGAACCGTTTCTTGAGAATATGAATATGAATAAATTGGCGAGGTGAAAAAACTACCACGTTCAGTTCCAACATGTTTGGAGGCCATCGCTAGCAGATCGGAGGCCATGGCCGCTATTAGGTTGGAGGCCATCGCTAGTTTGTGTCAATTTGTGCCTTGCATGCCATCCAGTCGTGAGCGTGTGCGATGTCAAAATCGCCCACCATTGACACCGTCTCACCTGCGACATCTCGTGACTCAACTTGAGAAGGTCACAGTTACTGTCACTTGTCACTCACAAAGTCTTCGGAGTCTGTTTTCAAAGCAAAAAACATGACTTGTTCATCTGGCTCGGCAAAAAAAACCTGACGATTGGCACTTTGTTGACGCCAAGACACCAAAGCACCACACCATGGAATTGCACATCTTTTCCATGGAGTCGACGAAATCATCGCTAGGGGGGCATTGTACACGGTGGTACATGACTCCATAAATCTCCTTCACAGGGCGCAGTGTGCAGTGAGCCATCTTCACAGTATCAATTCCAATGCGTTTACCTATCTAAACCATGCTGAACGCTTGCACTGGACACTGCCAAGGACTGCACAACCGCTCACAGAAACAATGTGTACGATCTAGGTTGGGTAATTTTCCTTTGGCATTAGCTATCTTCAGGCTTCCAATTCAGGACGCAAAGAGGTTCCCAAACCTCATGATTCATGACCTTCGGAGGCTTTCGGCAAAAAACAACCTAGTAGCGATGGCCGCTAACCTAGTAGCAAAGGCCTCCAACCTAAGAGCGATGGCCTCAACCCTAAGAGCGATGGCCTCCAACCTAAGAGCGATGACCTCGAACCTAGTCGCGATGGACTCCGACCTAGTTTCAAGAGCCTGCAATCTAAGAGCGATGACCTCCAACCTAGTAACGATGGCCTCCAATCTAGTAGCGATGGCCTCCAACCTAGCAGCGATGGCCTCCAAGCGAGTAGCGATGGCCTCCAACCTAGTAGCGATGGCCTCCAACCTAGTAGCGATGGCCTCCAACCCTATAGATCGGGCAAGACAATTTTTTGTCTCTAAAAAAATTAACTATTTAGATAATTTTTTACAACTGTTTTCGAAAGAAATAGTTAATTTTCTTTAACTATTTTTGAGACAATTCTGGGGGCAATTCAAAAAATTAACTTTTTTTTCAGGACAATTCTTGAGACAATTCTATAATTTGTAGTTTTTAAAAGACAATTCTTGGTGTCATTTTTGTTTTACATTTTTCTTTTTTCAGACACTGTTTGAAGTATTTTTTTGTTAAGTACATTTTTTGAAACAGTTCCTGGGGCAATTCTGCTTGTTAAAGCTACTTTCTTGAGACAATTCTTTCTGTAAGTCTGAATTTCAACCTTGTTCTTTAGACAAACCATATCAATATTATAGAAAATGTGTTTGGTTGGCCTGCTTTCTGCTTGCAATAATCCTACACATCTCCATCCAGAACCTTCAAAATGTGACCCAACTTGGTCCAAAAAGAGCAATAATCCTACAACATTGTGCAATAATCCTACCAAAGTATAAATTGGAGTAGTTGAGTCTTTTTAGTCTTTCAATCATTGCAACAATTCAAAAGCTATCAGCCAGTGGTCCATGAGCTTAGCTCCAGCCATCAGAGGTGGTGTTCCAGCTGCACAATTTTGTGCCATGTGCCGGACCACCCCCATGAAATCTTCTTGAAAATAGCACCAGGTCATCCTGGGGTTCAAGGCCCCACTATTCTCAGTCAGGCGCTGCAGCATGTGCATCTTAGATGTCACTTGGAAAATTGGGGGCACATCTTCTTGTGCAAAATGTCGCCACACATGCAAATTCAAACGTGCCATTTGGCAGCATGCGTGGTGAAATGCCTTTGCATCATTTGGAGTGAAAGCCAGGTCAGTGGCAGATTCTGCCATGAGCCTTTCCATTTTGCAGTTTGCTTTGAGCATGGACAGGATTTTTCTGTGAACTTCTGAAGCTGGGTTCATGTGCCTTTCAAACAACACTGTCAATGGCCTGACAAGGGCCTTGACTTGAGCTGCCTTGCCCCTCATCTTGCCACCATGCTTCTTTCTGAGAAACATGCTAGGCTTCATTTTGCCACTAGTCAGCATTGAGTGGGAAAGATGAGGAAGATGTAGGATTACTGTTGGCGGTTTTTTCTAGGATTACTGTTGGTGTTTTTTCTAGGATTACTGCTGGTGTTTTTCTATGATGCATGTGAGGCTTTTGCACTCACTTTTGATGAGTGGAGATCCTTGTGATGATGCCAAAGGTGGAAGGCTTGGTGGAGTCAATGCTGATTGTTAGGATTACTTTTGTGCGCTGGTAGGGTTACTTTGAATGTGTATAGGATTATTGAGGTTGAAAACATGTTGCACTCATCAAAAGCAATTCTGGCAGGAAAGGCACAAGCGATTCTGAAGAGGATGAACCTGCTGATGAGCAGTAGGCTTCTTGCTGATGGTAGGATTACTTTTGATTGAGCAATTGATTAGGATTATTGGTGACTTGCAAAGAGTTTAGGATTATTTCTGGTCAAACAAGCTTTGCTTCATTTAGGGTTTCTGGTGGAGCAAGGAACATGGTCACATTGTCTTCTGGCACAGGCAGAGATGATTCGACCATCCTCCAACAATGAGAGTATAAATATATATCATAACTATTTTAAAAACATGTACACTATCACAAGAAATCTTATAAAACTTATTTGGAAACATTTGTCAGCCATGCAAAACACTAAGTCTTTTCCAAAAGAGAATCACTTCTCAAATATTTGCAATGATAATGCCTTTACCAAGTCATGACAACTTTCAAGAAAACCACTAAAGTTTACAAAACAAAAATGAATAGAAAGTGGTCAGAATGTGGTCAGAAGTCATGAAAACAATCAAAAATAATTGAAAACACATACTTTCCAATTAGAAAAATGAACCAATTTTGGTCAGAAATCATTAAACAAATCAAAAAATCTTTGAAAATCCATAATTTTCAATAGAAAATACATGTTTTTATAGTATTTTTGGGTAAACAATTGAAAGTTTGTTGAAAGTTTGGTGCAAACTTTCAGTGAAACTTTCACCCTGGAATGTCAAACTTTCAGTGAAACTTTCACCCTGGAATGTCAAACTTTCAGTGAAAGTTTCACCCTGGAATGTCAAACTTTCAATGCAAACTTTCAATGAATGTTTATTAAATAATAAATATAATTTAAGATTAATTAGAAAGACTTTCTACATTGAAAGTTTGCATTGAAAGTTTGACATTCCAGAGTGAAACTTTCACTGAAAGTTTGACATTCCAGGGTGAAAGTTTCACTGAAAGTTTGACATTCCAGGGTGAAAGTTTCACTGAAAGTTTGCACCAAACTTTCAACAAACTTTCAATTGTTTACCCAAAAAATACTATAAAAATATGTATTTTCTATTGAAAATTATGGATTTTCAATCATTCTTTGATTTGTTTAATTAGTTCTGACCAAAATTTGTTCATTTTTCTAATAGGAAAGTATGGGTTTTTCAATACTTCTGACCAATTTTTGGTCATGTTTAATTCAATTATTTTGTTTTGTGTTTTTGATAGGATTATAAATTTCATTTAGCATTAAAGCGTGTTTCTTTGGGCTAGGATTACTAATTTCATAGGATTACTTGACAGGTTTCTCCTGGGTTTTAGGATTATTTTCTTGCTTGGGTAGGATTATTTCTCCAGTGTTGTGTCTTGTTTTGGTCTTGTTTTGCCAAGTCTTTGTCCTCAGGGTTGAAAGTTAAGATTGCTGTTCTTTTTCTAGGATGCTTGGCTTTCTTGCATGTAATGTGGCTCCCTTGGACTACTCACTTGGCAAAGACCAAAAAGCAGAAACAACCGATGAAGCAATAACCAGGAAGCTGTAAAAAACATAAAAATGAATACAAATATAGATTGAGTTATTGTATTTATTAAACAAAAGGCAATATTGTATGGACCAAAGTTTCTGTTCCAAAGACAGCTGTCTCTTTGCAGTTGAAGTTTGTGGAGTTTTTGGTCTAGGATTATTTTTGCAACTTCTAGGATTACTGGTTTTGGTGTAAACTTCTAGGATTGCTTCTGGCAGAGTTTTTGAGGTTAGGATTATTGGAAGCTTAGATCCTCCAACAGCAATGCTTGCTCAAGCAAGAGCAAAATACCATACAGTGCCATGCCTCAGCCTAGAAAGAAGCCCGCACAAAGTGAAGAAACAGGGCGTTTGGCCTTGGAGGATGATGGAAAGCCAGATGCCTCTGACAAAGAGGAGGAAGGAGATGAGAAGGTGACCAAGGAGGCAAAGGGCAAGAAGAAGGCAAAGGAACACTGCTGGCTTTGGACAACACCTTCTCAAAGATGTGCAGAACTGGCAGATCACCTTCATCTTCAGCAAGCGCACCTCCTTTTTTCCCTGCCTCTGCACATCCCTCCTCCAACTTCAAGAACCCAAGGCATTGGTCAATCAGGACCTTCTCCTCCTGACTGGCCTTCTTCAAGCACCTCGCATAGAGGTCAGGGAATTTCTTCAGCTCCCTGTACTGCTTGGCGCAGATCCTCAAGGTCTCATCCACCTTGTCTTGCCAATCATCATCCATCAGCTTGCTGAAGTTCATGCGCTGCTTCTGGTGCTGCAGCTTCACAAGGGCAAGCTTCACCTTGCTGCTTGCCAAGACGCCATTTCTGGCAACTTTGAAGAGCCTTTGGAACAGCTGGCTCACATGCCTTTGGCCAAGCCAAGAAGGATCAGCTGCAGATTTCCAGGTGACTTTCCCATTCTTGGGTGGCTCAACCAAGGAAAGCAGATCCCAGCAGCCCATCTCCTTGAACATGGTCTCGAAGGGCCCCATCAAATCACTTATACTGATGCTAGGGTCAGGTGCCAGCCTTTTCATGGCTGTCAAATGAGCTGTCAAATGATTTGAACCAAGACTGGAAAACAAGTAACCCTATCAAGTACAACAGGCTCAACACACAAAGTAATCCTACCAAGTACAGCAGGCTCATCACACAAAGTAATCCTACCAAGTACAGCAGGCTCATCACACACAGAAATCCTACCTGGCCCATGAAAAAAAGTAATCCTACCTCATGGATTTCGCACATGTCTAAAAGTAATCCTACAACATTGCACAAGAACTCTGAGTTATCACAATTCTCTGACCCAACTTTCCAGCTTTCCAGAAAATTCATATCAACAAAACCTTTCCACAAAACACAAAAATATTGTTTTTCATTCGAAACAATCCTTTTTTTCAATCAGTTGTCCCCCAGAAAATGATACCAAAAAAGGTATAAAAATAGAATTGTCCATAAAAATGCAAGGTAAAAATAGTTAGAAAAAGAGATAAAAAATAGAATTGCCCCCAAAATTGTCTCAAAATAGTTAAACAAAAATTGTCGTTTTGTTGCTTTTATAGAATTAACTATTAGTTAAATATTTGTCTGCAGACAACAGAGTTAACTATTAGTTAGGAAATTGTCTTGCCCGATCTATAGGGAACCTAGCAGCGATGGCCTCCAAGCGAGTAGCGATGGCCTCCAACCTACTAGCGATGGCCTCCAACCTAGTAGCGATGGCCTCCAACCTAGTAGCGATGGCTCCAACCAGTAGCGATGACCTCCAACCTAGTAGCGATGGCCTCAAACCTAGTACGAGTAGCGATGGCCTCCAACCTAGTAGCGATGGCCTCCAACCTAGCGATGGACTCCGACCTAGTTTCAAGGGCCTCCAATCTAGTAGCGATGACCTCCAACCTAGTAGCGATGGCCTCCAATCTAGTAGCGATGACCTCCAACCTAGTAGCGATGGCCTCCAACCTAGTAGCGATGGCCTCCAACCTAGTAGCGATGACCTCCAACCTAGTAGCGATGGCCTCAAACCTAGTACGAGTAGCGATGGCCTCCAACCTAGTAGCGATGGCCTCCAACCTAAGAGCGATGGCATACCTGTCCTCGTGTAATTGCTGACCGTCACCACGCCGAGTGAAGATGTGAACCTCATGTTGCCGACGTTGCAGCGCTGCCGCCAACTCGGTGACGTGAGGAGCCACGCCACCCACGGCGATGGAATGCAAAGACTCCCAAGAGAACATCGCAATCCTCATTTTCCCGGACTCTTTGTTTCCGGGTGAATCGGTGCGGAATGCCTCTGAAGATCTCGCCCCCTCCTCGCGGTTTGAGCCAAACGGTCTTAGTCATGTTCTTGTTCTTGCGCGCAAGACAAACGCTGTCTGCAGTATCATCATGGAAACCTGCGTGTCATGGTTGTTTGCCGGCAGGTTTTCCACAATCGCGGTTCATCCTTCTTTGGCGGCCTTACTTTGGGCCTTCTTCACCTTGCCTTTTCCTGGAAACCAGCTGCCAACCCGAAAAGGGCAAGGGTACAAGCTTCACATGTTTTGAAGTGTTCGCGTCCTGCAGCTGCAACCGTCTTTCGCTCCTTTTTCTTTGCCTGCAAGCACGATCCGTCGCTTTGTCCAGTGCTCTGTCCTGCCTGCGTTGTAGATTGAAGTTTTACCGCCTCCTGCCTTTGCAGCCTTTTTCTCTGCCTTTCGTCGTTGCCAAAACTCTCGGTTTTTCTGGTTCTTTCGGGAGGGCATAGTCGAAGCCTTGGAAAGGCAAATGTTCAACTGCAATTTTGCATACTTCAAGCAAACCCACCACGTTTTTGACGAGTCTCCAACATAGTCTCCGCGTCTCTTCCGTCTTTTGATGATAACACGCTTGCACTGCACTTGGGCATTGGCTTTCTCACGCGCCTCTGCCTTTGCCAAGCACTCTGCTTCAAACGCTTCAACTCCCATGGCCTCACAAAACAGACCGGGAATCCGGTAGGAACCCGGTAGAGACCCGGCAGGAACCCAGTATGTTTTTTATCAGATCAAGAACCGTAAGCGAAACGACATGTTTTAAGACATGTTTTAAAGAAAAACATAACAAATAGCGTTTGAAGCAACACCTTTCCGAAAAGGGTGAACGGTATCTTTCTTTGGGCATTAGAGACAGCATCTACGCAGCTCTGAGCACTGTGGATGCGAGATGTCCCGTGTCTGACCTGGTCGTGACCCCGATTCTTCCTTCCTGGTGGGTTTCCGACAAAGAGCTTTGTTTGGACAGATTCAGGCTGATTCAGGTTTCAGATGCTAGGGCAACCGCAACACTCCGTCAACCTAGCAAATGTGTCAAGAGCTGTGGGAGTTTCTTTGAAAGAGGTGTGTTTTGAATGCAGGAATTTGTGTTTTATTTTATCTTTTCCAAAGTCCTTAGGGCTCACACTTCGCTGCTATTTACAGCAAACTGGTGTCCGTAAAAAGGAAACGCACTGCGGACACAAAACGGAGTGAGTGGCCGAGCTTTTAAAAACAACAATTTCGGCAGCAGGGCTCGCACTTAAGAGAAACAGCTGTCGCAGCGTGCAAGCAAATTACATTGGGAGAAGTAATGCAGATTTCGCATTGGTGGCTGGCGCAGTGAAGCGTGGCCCACATGTCAAAAGACGCTGCTTTCAGGGCGCGCGCTTGGATGTTTCTGTGTTGCATGATTTGGCCTGAACGTCAACAAGCAAGGCAGCAAGCACACATGACATGTTCTTCAGGTTTGCTCCCTTTAGGATTAGGGCACCACCTGCATGGAGGCCTGCCTTGTTTGTTTTCCCTAGGTCGCTGAAATGAAAGCTATAAGGGTTCTTACTTCTCAATGACTGAGCAGCTGATCAGGTTTTTTTGTTCAAACTTCACACAACGCGACGATCAGGTATTGCGCGCGGCGTGGTTCCCTCAAGGGTGAAACACGCCTGCGCCCACGCAACTTCGACGGGGTTCGGGGCGCTCCCCCAGAATCTGCTGAAGCCACGATGGCCCCTCACCTCCAAGCAGGGCTAGGGTCTAAAACTTACAGCTGTTGGCGGCGATGATGCGTGACGGGGGCTCGGCCGAGTATCAACACTTACAACATCTTACAACTATATCTACAAAGCTTCGCTACAACACACAAATCGAAGGTGGAGGTCCAGACTCTAGCGCGTGGAACCTAAGGACGAGAACCTGACCGGATCATTTTCAATGATTTGTTGCCCAGGAATGCAACCACTGAGGACCAAGCAAAGGCCTTTTCATTGACCTTTGATTGCTTGCTTTGCTTCGCGTTCCTTTGCTGCGCTTTGAGTTTTGCGGTTTTTTGGTTGGTTTGTAATAAAGCGATAGCGCTTGAAAGAAACGCAAGAATGAGCAAAGCCCCTTTTTGTTTTCCTTTTAGCTTTCTTTGTCGGCTTCTGTTTTCCTTTCCTCTCCCTTGCTGCACGCCTTTAATCTTCTTCTACTGCGCAGAGAAACATAGACTAGAAGCAAAGATCGTGAAAGGCAAAGATCATCAAAGAAAGACCTCAACGCGAGAGTGGAAAAAACAACAGGAGCACAGCTGACAAGCCAGAGCCTAAAAAAGGCGTGCGGAGAAAGGACCGGATAACCCCACATGTTAAGCTTATAAGAACTAGCACGGAGAAGTGGAGACTGAGAAGAAAAAGAGGACGGAAACATACTGGACGATAAAAGTGACTCAAAGAGACACCGATGTGAAAGAATAAGCAGGGAATGATTCAGATAATGATTGAGGGAGTGAGAGAGACAGAGTGTGTGGGCGTAGCTTCTTTTGTGGGTCAGCTTTATGTGAGTTTCTTCAGAAGACGCGCAGAATCTTGCAGGCTCTGCGCACTGCACCTGCCACACGAAAGGCAGGCCAGGCGCGGCCCGGCGGCGACCACGCGTCCCGCAGGTCCTCCTGAAGGCTCCGCCTACTGCGCCTGCCACACGAAAGGCAGGCACGGCCCAGCGGCGGCCGCCAATCTCTTGCGTTTGCTCGCGCAGCTCTTTGGCTCTTGCAGGGTTCTGCAAAAGCCGGGCCATGTCCTGTAAAGCCAAGAAGACCTCGACTTTCATCCTCACAACCTGCCCGTGTGAAGATACAAATGCATCCCACGCAAATGGGACCTTCAAGAAGAGGACAAGAATGATGAGCCCAAGCGAATGCTGGAAAGTCTTGCGCCAGCCAGCAACATTGGCAACTGCGTGGCCAAGACCCTCAGGCAGCGGCAGCAAATGGGAAGTGCCCTGCCACTGCTGGAGCGACATGAGCACCTCTAGGCTGTATGCGTTTGTTGCCCTCACATGTTTGGATAAGGGCATTCCTTTTCTGCACTGGAATCAAAATAATGAAACAGCAAGCTAATCTCGGACAGGCAGCACAAGGAAGTTCATTCTTTCATTCAACACGACTGGATGCGGCCAATCTGAACTGGCAGAGCTGGAGAAAGCATGCGCATGAAATAGCTGGGCAATGAAATAGTTTGCCCAAAATGGCGGTGGGTTGAAACGCTTGGTTGCTCTTTAGTGTTCTCTCATGGTAGGCTTGAACAAATGAATGGTATCGGGTCTGCTATGTTGGAATGGCACCTTCCTCCTCTAAAGTTTACCCTCAACTGGGTGACAAAAGGTCTGCTACCTGGAGTGGTTCCTTCCTCCTCCAAATTCTACCCTCGTATGGCTCACAAAAGTCCACTACTAGTGTAAAATTTGATTCACAAAAGGTCTGCTACCTTGGCGTGGCACCTTCTTCCTCCAAATTTTATCCTCGGGTGGCTCTCAAAAGGTCTGCTACGTTGGAATGGCACCTTTGGTGCCATTCCTTCTCCATATTCTACCCTCGGGTTGCTCACAAAAAAAGGTCTGCTACGTTGGAATGGCCCCTGCCTCTTCTAAATTTTACCCTAAGGCCCTTGGGTGGTTCACAAAAGCGCTACCTTGGAACGACGTCTAAAATCTACCGTCGGGCGCCTCGCAACCAAGATCTGCTACGTCTTGATACAGTAAAGGGTCTTCTACAGTGCTTCACAGGATGCGGACCAAGGGACCAGGGGCCAAGGGAGCAGGGGACCAAGACAAAGGGACCAAAGGACCGACACTTGAATTCAAAAGCTGCAATCATTTCTCATGGTTTCTGACGAAAAATACAAAACAAACAGAAACCAACCAAACGAAAGGATAACAAAAGTATGTTTCATTGATTTCCTTACCTTCTCCTGGCCTTTCTTGTGTCGGGCCCTTAGCTTTTTAGTTTCTTTGGTTTGCAAAAGCTTGACACCGATCTAGTACCTAAGACTCGTTTGTAAAGCGTTTCCTGCTTCTCGATACCCTCAGCTCGCCTTTGCTCTTTCAAAGCGATGCACATTACGCTTGTGATAAGCGCTTTGCAAATGAACCTCAGAGGTTCGTTGAAGAGGACAAACCCTTTGATGCAATGATCTGAGTCTCTGAGTAGGCGCCTACTGAATTTTCAAAAAAAAACTAGGAACCAAAGGAATAGTGCGAGCGCTTCTTCGAGGAAGCGTGAGCTATCTGCATCCATACTAGTAGCTTACTTGTAGGTATACTAGCTACCTAGCTACTGCTACCTCTAGCTAGCTACGGCCTACCCAGAAAAAATAAAAAGATTCTTCGGTTCGGTTCACTTTGTCCCTGAGAACCCTCCCTCACCTCCATGTGCTTCTCATTGATCAGAATCTTTTCCGGACACAACTGACAACGGAACTTGCCTCTGAAGGCAGGCTCCTGGAACGCGAGGAAAACAAAGGAAAACTACACACGTTTCGACGTACGCCGGCTGTCAAATGCACGCCTCCGGGGGCACGGGCGGATCAGAGTCAGCGGATTCCTGAGAAAGGAAAGCTGAAAAGCTGGATGACAAGCAGACAAGAAAAGCTGGAAGGAGAAGGAGACACCGCAGAGACACTGTAGGCAAGCTGGCAAGCTGTCTAGATTCTGTCTAGATCGAGACCTGACAACCTGGCAGAAAGAACAGAGAAGTTGTCAAATGCGTCGATTTATTTGTCTCATCGCTACGAACGGAGCAAAGGGCCACGCTACTAGGGGCTCCTGGCCTTACTACTAGGAGCATTCCTGCTACTAGGAGCAAAGGGCATCGCTACTAGGAGCAAAGGGCCACGCTACTAGGGGCTCCTGGCCTTACTACTAGGAGCATTCTTGCTACTAGGAGCAAAGGGCATCGCTACTAGGAGCAAGGGCGCTAACTTATTTGTCTATGCGCCATGTCGATGTCGTTTATGTCTATGTGCAGTACTTCCTCAGATCCCTCGTCATCTTCGCCTTGCACATGACATCAAAAGTCTTACAAAACACATTGTCCTTTATCTGCCATCTCAAGTACATTGAAGGCCATTGCTATTAGTAACAAGGGCACTACTACTAGTAGCAAGAATCTAGTAGGTTGGAGGTCAACTGAGTTCACGTTCCAGCACCTCTTTCTGCACCAGGCAGCAGGCGCCTAACTCAGACCAAACTGTAAGCCTCTAAATGCAGCAACCAGTGCAACATGTCATTCGTGTTTATTTGTGGCGTTTTCTGTTGCCTTTCTTCCATACATATCCTTTTAATTAGAGTTTTGACTTTTCCTTTTGATTTCTGCACTTTCCTTCCTTATCCTTCCTTCCTGTCTTTCTCTTTTCTGAAACACACAGGTGTTTGCACAATGCCTCTCTAGCTTCTGCTGTTGGTGATGAGTAATCTCTTCATCTGAATCGTCGTCAGCTTCATCCCATAGAACTGCTCTCTTGATCATGGCGATTCAAAACACTAAAGTTTTCTTGGGTATGTTGGAAGACCTGAAAATACAAAAAATTGCCGATGTCTTTCTTCTCAAAAGTGTTTCTCTACTGAGGAAGTGACATAAAAGCACGTAAATCTGTCTTTTGCTGTGCTTCTTTGTGCTGAGACAGTGCCTTTGTGTCAGTGTTGTTACTATGTGTGTGTGTCACTTTAGAAGTAAACTTAGCCAAATTCGCCACAACTTGCCATCAGAAGTTTGTGTCAGCATTTCACTTGACGGACTATGGGCCTGTGCGTGTCACATGTTGGAGGCCATCCCTAGTAGGAACACATAAAAGAGAAACGGAGGAAAGGTCTGTGTCACATGTTGGTATCGCACATTAGTGTTTTCTGAAACTCGCTCTTCACCGCAGCTCAGCGCATTTTCTCGAGTCTAGACCTGACAGGGCAACTTCTCTAATCGTGGCCCTGCCTCCTTACTTGATTAGGTAGGAGCACGGACGCTACTAGGGGTGCCTGGCATCGCTACTAGGAGCAAGGACGCTACTGGGGTAGGCGAGAAGTTTGCCAGCTACTAAAGCTTCTAGTAACTGGACGCAGGATAGCTCATGTTTCTTCAAAGCGAGGGCGGGGGAGAGCTTCCTTGAAGAAGTGCTCGCACCAATGATTTGGTTCCTAGGCTTTTAGAAAAACTTAACTTAACTCCAAGGCATCATGTCTCTTTTTTTCCTCCCACGCTTCGCTCTCTCCTAACAACTGCCACGCTTCGTGACGGGAGAACCAACTGATTGCGGAGAACCATTGGTGTCACTTTGACTTCTTCTGCTCCGCATCACTTCATCCTGAGGAACAAGAAGTTAAAAAGAATGCTTTCTGGTGGTGGTGATCTCACAGGACGGGAAAGTTGAAAAAACAAAATAAAATGCATGTCTAGGATGCCACTAGGGGCTTACTATTAGCAACAATAACGCTACTAGGGGCTCCTGGCCTTACTACTAGGAACAAGAACGCTACTAGGGGCTCCTGGCCTTACCAATAGGAACAAGAACGCTACTAGGGGCTCCTGGCCTTACTACTGAGAACGAGAACGCTACTAGGGGTTCCTGGCCTTAGCACTAGGAACAAGAACGCTACTAGGGGCTCCTAGCCTTAATTAGGAACAACAACGCTACTAGGGGCCCCTGGCCTTAGTATTAGGAACAAGAGCGCTAGGAACAAGAACGCTACTAGGGGCTCCTGGCCTTACTACTAGGAACAAGAACGCTACTAGGGGCTCCTGGCTCTGCTACTGGGAACAAGAACGCTCCTAGGGGCTCCTGGCCTTACTCCTAGGAGTAAGGACGCTACTAGGGGCTCCTGGCCTTACTCCTATGAACAAGAACGCTACTAGGGGCTCCTGGCCCTACGCCTAGGAACAAGAACGCTACTAGGGGCTTCTGGCCTTACTACTAGAAACAAGAACGCTACTAGGACCCCTCGCCTTACGACTAGGAACAAGAACGCTACTAGAACCTCCTGGCCTTACTACTACGAGCAAGGAAGCTACTAGGGCTCCTGGCCTTACTACTAGGACTCCTGGCCTTACTCCCAGGAACAAGAACGCTACTAGGGGCGCCTGGCCTTACTACTAGGAACAAGAACGCTACTACAGGCTCCTGGCCTTACTCCTAGGAACAAGAACGCTACTACTACTAGGAACAAGAACACTACTAGGGGCTCCTGGCCTTACTACTAGGAACAAGAACGCTACTAGGGGCTCCTGGCCTTACTCCTAGGAACAAAAACGATGCTTTCCTGGCCTTACTACTAGGAGCAAGGACGCTACTAGGGCCTCCTGGCCTTACTAGGAGCAAGACGCTACTAGGGGCTCCTGGACTTACTACTAGGAACAAGAAGCTACTACAGGCTCCTGACCTTATTCCTAGGAGCAAGAACGTTACTAGGGGCTCCTGGCCTTACTACTAGGAACAAGAAGCTACTAGGGGCTCCTGGCCTTACTACTAGGAACAAGAACGCTACTAGGGGCTTCTGGCCTTACTACTAGGAACAAGAACGCTACAAGAACGCTACTAGGGGCTCCTGGCCTTACTACTAGGAGCAAGGACGCTACTAGGGGCCCCTGGCCTTACTACTAGGAGCAAGGACGCTACTAGGGGCTCCTGGCTACTAGGGGTGCCAGGCCTTACTACTTGGAACAAGAAGCTACTAGGGGCTCCTGGCCTTACTCCTAGGAACAAGAAGCTACTAGGGGCTCCTGGCCTTACTACTAGGAACAAGAAGCTACTAGGGGCTCCTGGCCTTACTCCTAGGAACAAGAAGCTACTAGGGGCTCCTGGCCATACCTAGGAACAAGAACGCTACTAGGGGCTCCTGGCCTTACTCCTAGGAACAAGAACGCTACTAGGGGCTCCTGGCCTTACT